TGCCGTGCGGTCGACCATGGCCTCGTGGCGGTCCGAGAAGCTCGAGACCAAGGAAGCGGCGGTGACAGTCGCCTACACCCCCGTGTCCCCTGGCGACGACGACGACAGCCAGCCTGGGAATGACAGGCGGAATGGCGGCAGCATCCGGAGCACCCAGCATCGGCCCAGGATATTGTCACTGACTTGGCACACCTACCTGCTGGCCCTGGCCCTGGTGTAAGTAAAGAAGCTGGAAGCAGAGATCCAAGGTGCTGACCCCCCCGCCAGCGCAATCATCCTCCTCGTCGCCGACGTCAGCGAGACCATCGTCCAGCACATCCTCCGCCAGCGCAGCGACCCCTTAGCTAACTGGGGCAAGCCCGGCTCCGGCACCGAGGATTTCGCCTGGTACCCGACCGATTTCCTGCGCGACGTGCTACCCGTGCCCTGCCACTCGCACAACGACTACTGGCGCCGCGTCCCGCTCTTCTCGGCCATCTACGCCGGCTGCACCGGCGTCGAGGCCGACGTCTGGCTGCGCAAGGAGGACCTCCTCGTCGGCCACGACACGGCCAGCCTGCAGCCCAACCGGACCTTCCAGTCCCTCTACGTCAACCCGCTCGTCGACATCCTCGCCCGCCAGAACCCCTCCACCGAGTTCTACTACGGCACCAAGAACGGCGTCTTCGACACCAACCCGGAGCAGACCCTGGTCCTGCTCATCGACCTCAAAACCGACGGCCACGAGACCTGGCCCTGGGTCATGAAGCAGCTCGACCCGCTGCGCGAGCGGGGGTGGCTCAGCTACTCCCAGGACGGCCAGTTCCACCAGGGGCCCATCACCGTCGTCGGCACCGGCAACACCCCCTTCGAACTGATCCTCGGCAACTCGACCTACCGCGACGCCTTCTACGACGCCCCGCTCGACCGCCTCGCCAACTCGACCTACGACGCCACAAACTCGTACTACGCGAGCGTCAACTTCTGGAACGCCATCGGCGCCGTCTGGTGGAAGGGCGGCCCCAACGACGGCCAGAAGGATAAGATCCGCGCCATGCTGCGCGAGGCCCGCGATCGCGGCCTCAAGTCGCGCTACTGGGGGCTGCCCGCGTGGCCCATCCACGTGCGCAATTTCGTCTGGCAGGTGCTGGTCGAGGAGGACATTGGCATGCTGAACGTCGACGATCTCGACGCCGCCACCCGCCAGGACTGGACCAAGCCGGGGACATTCTAGAGGAGTGGGTGCACGCACGCGGGCGCTGCGGGATATGTTGGGACGCATTTTCAGGGCGGAGGGCGTTGCATCAGGCAAAATTCTTATAGCCGGGGTTATGACATAGACCGGGAAAGAAAACGACGATTATGATCGAATCTGCCGTGTCTTCTCCCACGTCGTTGTGCATGAGACGACAGCTGCACGAGGCTGGAGACCCGGAACGGAGGAGCAACCCCGCTCGAAATACACCCCGAATCTCCGGTTTATCTCCTGCGGGGACATGCCCCTCGTTGCACTCCCAGCGTCCCACCCCAGAGATGTGGGGTTGGTGAGCTCATACATCTCCGTCCGCGGATCAGCAATCTATGGGGGTACGAGAGAAGAGGGGGAGGGAGTTTAAGAGGGGTCGGTGCTTATAAAAGTGTGTGTGTCAGGTAATCCGAGACCCAGAGAAAAGGGCGGGGATCTCTCATCTTGTAAACATCAACAAGCCAACTCAACCTCAACCACGAAGGAGGACATTAGAGTCTGTCCGTCTGTCTGTAACGAAACGAAACTCAGGAGATACCATCTTTTTCTCACCTGTCGTCGCCATCATCACTCATCACAATGACGGAACCACGAGGCCGCCGCGACTCCCTCATCTCGATTGCAAGGCAACAGCAGAACCTCGCTTCACTGGATGTAAGTCACGCAAACATTGCACACGCACCTCGCTCACTCTCTCGCCCAACCACACACACACCTTAAGCCCACACCTGAGCGATCCCAAAGCCATGGTTGCATACCCTTGACCACCACCCTCCCCCATCCCCACCCTTGACGTCGTCCCTTGACCCCCCTCATCCAACCAACCCCCTGCTCACTCACCACCTCAGTCCTCCATCGTCGACCGCCTCCCCTCCTACTCGGCGGCGCTCTTCGAAGCCAAGACCCAAAAGCGGCTCACCTTCGAAGCCATCGCGGAGCACCTGGGTCGCAGCGAGGTGGCCGTGGCGGCCCTCTTCTACGGGCAGGCACAGGCCTCCCCCGAAGAGGTCGTCCAGCTGACCCAGCTGCTGGGCTTATCCCACGAGTCTCCCGTGGCGTCGCAGATGATGGGCTTCCCCGACCGCGGCCGCGCGGGGCCCATGCCGCCTGTCGAGCCGCTGATTTATCGCCTGTACGAGATCGTGCAGAACTACGGCTATGCGTACAAGGCGGTGCTGAATGAGAAGTTTGGGGACGGGATTATGAGTGCTATTTGTTTTAATAGCAAGGTTGAGAAGGAGGTGGATGAGAACGGTGCACCGTGGGTGGTTATTACCCTGAAGGGGAAGTGGTGAGTTGCCCTGTGTTTTTCCTCCCGGTGTCTGGCTGGTCCCGTTGGTGGCTCTCTCGCTCTGGCGCTCTCCATGGCACTCTCCCCGGTTCTGGATCTGGGTCTGGATGTTGGCTCTGTCTTTTTTCGTTGTCCTCCTTTCACCGGTCACCGCAAGCCTGTTGTTCCCCCTTTCAGCCGCCAACCCCTCCATTCCACCCTCCTCCCTGCGCGGTGTGTCGACACATCAGGATGCCCTTGCTGACGGTGGGAACGGCTAGGCTTCCTTTCACTCGGTTCTAGGCCGTCAAACGGCACGGTTGGTCCTTTAGCGGCTGGAGGGAGGCGTTGTTTACTCCCCTTACAGTGGACGGGTCAAGGGAGGGGATCGACAGGGCCGAAGGTGTTTGCTCTCCGAGGCGGTCATGTCCGAGGCGGCAAACCGTCCAGCATTCCTCTCTTTCGGATTGTTTCCCAGTGGCTGAGCGGGCTTTAATTTGGGCTTGGATGTTCTTTGCGCCCAGGGCGCGGCTAAGCACATGACGGCGGGATCAACAATACTAAGGCGTTCAGGGGTAACAATACTAAGCTCGACGCCACCACGCGGCCCTTGCCCCAACGGTTGCCCAGCCTCGCGGAAGCTTCCACGGTTTCTTTGGCCTATCCTAATTCTGCAATCAAAGAGAAGGACCGTTTGTTGCCTGCCCAGCCTATTTGTGTGCCCGCCGTCCCCTCGGAGGCTGTTCACATCGGGGTGGTGTCCACCCACCCTTTGTCCCTTGTCTCTCTGACGACAATACCAAGACGACAATACTAACCACATCGCCGCCCTCGCCGGGGAACTGAACAGTCTCTTTCTGCGTGTTTGTCTGTCAAAACTTCAATGCAAAGGATGTCAAAGAATGCGACGAGGGTCGAGACCCCGTGCTATTCTCGTGCGCCTGGCTGGACCAAGCACGGAGAATAGCAACGTACGCCCTTGACGACGGGCCATCTCACCCTCGTCCTCGACTCGAATCTTAAGAGAGAGAGAAAAAACTATAAGAGAAGTCCTCTCCTCCGGTCCAGAATCCATCTCTTCCCTCTCTCCATCAGCACACTCACATCCACATGTACACCACAACAACTTCAGCTTTTCCAAGCAACCCCCCCCCAAACAATCAACATGCCTTCCACCACTGCCCAGACCAAGGTCCCCCAGACCTCCACCTCCTTCAACTCCTACTGCGTTGTCATGTAAATGACAACCGGGGGATGCCCGGTGCGAGCGGCCGCTTGGCCCTCGACGTCCCTGCCCGCCCAATTGTCCACGGCGAGAAGGCCCTCTGTCCACCTCTCCCCATGAGCATCAACAACCATGACCGCGTTTCTCTCAGCGCAACCACACCACCACAGCCACCCGCTTGACTTCCCCGCGGTGCCTGCCAGCTTAAGACCTCGAAAGGAGTCATCAGGAGATGCCCGATGACCTCGCCCGCTTGACACCAAACCCGTCGGCTGGCCTCAACAAAACCCCTCAAAACCTACCACCGCACACACACCCCACACTTTTTGTTCCTTTGCGTCTTCGTTTCTCGGCACCCCCAACATTCGTCAACACCGGCAACCAGCCAGCAGCCTCCACACCATCTTTCCTTTGCTTTCTCTCAACAAGCCCCACACACAACACACCCCAGTTTTTCGACTTGGATAGATCACACCGACACACAGCATTCTTCCGCAAGGTATTCACTCTGTGGGACGGAGAGGATGGATGAGGAGTCGCGACCTTGTTTCTCTTCTCTTCGCTTTTTGCGGGGAAGTGTTTGGTGGCTCTTTTTTTATAGGGATCTGGGATGGGAGTGGAGTGTAAGAGGGGAGGGATAGGGGGGTTTAGGAAAGGGGTTCGGAAAGCGGTTCTTTTGATCGATCTCCGGTTGCTCTTTTGGTGTTTGGAGGAAGGAGGAAAGGGTACATGGAAAACGAGGCCGGTTGACATCATTTTTTTGTGCTTGATGTGCTGATGATTGTGACATCTTTGGGTGAATACTGAGGGTTGACTTGAAGCTGAGTCCTGGAGGATCTATCTGTGGTGAGATGGGAATTGCCTCCTCATAACTCTTGGCTATTGAGCACAGGCATCAAGCAGTGCCTCCAACGTTGTCTGAGCTCATGCATCTCGGGGAACTGTTTAACACGGTACTGGCTGTCTGAGCCCACTTGCCGTGGAGGATAACCCCATTGTCCGCTGGACTTGTTCACAGTTGTGACCTGTTGCCCGTGATTGGCATGATCCGACATGTGAGAAACCAATTCGGCCCGGGGAACACCCGCTCGCTGGAGCCGGTCAAATACGAATCTGAACCATATCAAGAGTCCATGTTTGAAAAATCTGGCAACACTTCAAAGCCGCTACTGGTTGCAGAGAGTTTGGTACTTGAGCGTTGACGTCAACAGTCCTGATGCTCTGGCCGAGTCGCAGGGATTTCCCAACATGAGGCCGAGTTCTGAACAGTGACATTCAACGCCCGCATGGCTCAGTGGTAGAGCGTGTCACTAGTAACCAAGGTCACATGACAAGGTCGTCAGTTCGATTCTGGCTGTGGGCAAATTCACAAACCTCATATTTTTGCTCGTGTTCCCTCTACACTGCATTGAATGGGATGGAGCCTTTTGGCTCGATGTCTTTTGTCCTCAAGTGCATTGACTGTCCTCGAAACAAAACAAGGCTGCAGCTTCCCGATGTATTGCGTGCTGAGTATCCGTGCCCCTGGTAGGGCGAGGAACACAGTTGGCAAAAGGGTTAGGGTTACGCGCTCGATTCTAAACACCCCGCTTTGCTTGCGCTGGCGCGGTCTTATCTTATCGGTCAATCGCAATGCAGCCAAAAAAAAGTTTCGGAGCATCGCAGAGCTCGCGCTGCACGTCTTCAACCAATCCATTTGTCCCCACCAGCAGCAGCCATGGCGAAGAAAGGCGCGACACAGTCCCCCAAGGCCGGGCCCAAGCCCAAGTCAACAGCCACAAACAACGCCAAGGCTGGCAAGCAAAAAGGCGACAGGAGAAAGTCCAATGAGCCCGTCGCAGCCAAGGTCGTCGACGCGAACGACGCGGACGACTGGGAGGACGAGAGCGACGAGGAGGTCGCCCCCAAGACCAACAAGAGGAAAGCCAGGGACGAGGAGCCGAGCGACGATGACAGTGACTCGGACGGCAGCGATGACGACGACGAGCATGGCGGCATCGACCTCGAGGGGATAGACGACTCCGACTCTGAATCGGAACTCGACTCGGACGGCGGCGCTGGGGAGGACGACGACGACGAGGACGAGGAAGAGGAAGAGATTGACGTTGACGAGCTCTCGGCCGAAGATGAGGAGGATGAAGAGCAAATCATCGCCGGCACCCGGGTGCGCCAGACTATCAACAACAAGGAAGGTCTCCTGGCCGCCCTCCGCCGCTTCGCCCTCGACACCAACCCCAAGACCGTTCCCTTTGCCTTCCACCAGTCCATCGTCTCGTCCAAGAAGACCGAGGACTCGATCCCCTCTGTTGACGACGACTTGCAGCGCGAGCTGGCCTTTATGAACCAGTCGCTCGAGGCTGCCCGCCAAGCTCGCACCCTCCTGCGCAAGGAGGGCGTGCCTTTCACTCGCCCGACCGACTTCTTCGCCGAGACGGTCCGCAGCGACGAGACCATGCAGAAGGTCAAGGCCAAGCTGGTCGAGGAAGCCACCGCCAAGAAGGCCTCGGCTGAGGCCCGCAAGCAGCGCGACCTCAAGAAGTTTGGCAAGCAGGTCCAGGTGCAGAAGCAGCAGGAACGCGCCAAGCAGAAGCGCGAAACCCTCGAGAAGATCAACCTTCTCAAGCGGAGTACGCCCCCGTCTTTACCCTCCCTTTTCTCCCACCTCCCCCGTTTACTAACCCCCCCGTGCACAGAGCGACAAGAAGGCGGCGGCGCCGGCCTCGGCGCCAACGAAGCAGACGATCTCTTTGACGTGGCCGTCGACAACGAGCTCCGCTCCGCCGGCGGCAGCCACAACAAGGGCGGCAACACCAAGAAGCGCTCGGCGGGCGACCACGGCCCACCCAGCGCCAAGCGGCAAAAGAAGGACGGCAAGTACGGCTTCGGCGGCAAGAAGCGCTTCGGCAAGTCGGGCGACGCCATGTCGTCGGGCGACCTGAGCTCGTTCAACGCCAAGCGCATGAAGAGCGGTGGCGGCGATCGCGGCGGTCCCCGTGGCGGTCCCGGCGGTGGCGGTCCCGGCGGTGGCGGGGGTGCCAGGAAGGGCGGCGCGAAGCCTAGGTTGGGGAAGAGTCGGCGGCAGGCGCAGGCTGGGAGGAGGTAGGCGGGTGTTTAGCTAGGGATGGTTGATGCGTTGGGGGCGTGTAGAAGGGATAGGGCGGTTACATCAGTCTAATTCTACTGTTTGCCGCAAGCGGTGACATGTTTATGAAGTGCTGTCCTCTTTTCAGCTGTCTCTCATCGCTGATTGCATCGAGTTGTCCCAACACAGGTGATGCTCGTTGTGCGAGTTGTCGAAAACGTCGAATTGCTCTCTTGACCCGTCAACCCAACTCGACAACCTAAAGTGTCCATCCTAGGACTGTCATGTTCACTTCTTGAGCATATCCTTAGCTTAAGTCAAACAACGGCATCATCCGGGTCACACTCTTCCAGGTTCTCTCGGTGGTTCGAACGTGTCAAATACAATTTGCAGCTAAACCCACGTGGTATATGTAAATGGCAGTGTACGTAAAAGACAACCTGGAAGATGTAAAAGATCCGGTTATGGGCCTACTCTGCTTCCCCCAGCAACCCGCCTCATCTCCTTGTCTTTCCCGACTTCCACACGGCTGTCCACTAAGCCCAGCCGAGTGGTCAGAAGACATTCCAGTTCATCACCTCGCCAGACCATGTCCCTTTCCCCGCGTTTTCCCATCCCCCAAAACGCCGTTCCCCCAAGGCCATCCCACCCTTGGTGCCGAGGTGAGAGTCAGTGGTGATTTCCACACCACAGACCACCCCCAGTCCAAGAATCAAACCCTACCCAGTAAACCCCACGGGCCTCCACCCGCGGCCTCGTCGTTGTCCTCTCCGAGAGAGGTATCCAGAGCCCCTATCATTCATCCATCATTCCATTCATGCATCCCGAATTCATCGAGAGGGGAGAGAGAGCAAGCAAAATGAACTCCGCAAAATGGAAAACACCATGACTGACGAAGCCGTCTGTGACCGCCTCACCCCCAATCAATACCATGCATGGAGTATTGATCAGGAAAGGGGTTTGAATGAATGGAAACAGCAATGTGGGCAAAACGCTCCGCAAGGCAACACGGCGCTCCCATGTCCTCCCGCTCATCGACCAAGGGAAACAAAGGAGGGAGGCCCCCTGACAAGCCAGGGGGATGTCGACATCATCATAACCACCACCACGACCAAGCAATTGGGGGTGATAAGGGCAAGCAAAAAGAAAAAGAAAGGCAAAACGCCGCCCGTGCTTGCTGTGCTCGCGTGCTTTGCGTGCTCGGCCTGCTTGATCATAAAACGATGAGAAGGGAAGAAAACTGACGCAGTCCAGGTATCATCATGCCATCCACCCACCCATCCATGCCTCATCCATCTCAGCTCATTCCAGTCAACAACGTAAACCAAGGCACCCAGACCAAACCACTCCGCCTCAACGCTCCCTCCTCCAACTTCACAAATCACTCAGTCCATCCTCTCACAATCACACCTTCCGACACCACCACACCCCCGCACATGCACAACTCACAACCAACAACTCATCAAGGCAAAAAAGCGGGACAGCAACACGAGAGAGAAGCGGACGAATAGAGAAGAGAGGGAGAAAAAAAAGAAGCATTTCGTTCGTTCGTTCCTGTCATGCCTGAATACCAAAAAAAAAGAAAAGCCAGCGAAGAAAAATTTCCACCAAGTTGCTTGATTGCCCTTCCCATGCCCTCCATCCCTTGTCCTTGCCCTGCCATGTCTTGTCTGTCTCCCTCCCTCTCCCTTTCACCCCATCATCCCATGACAACTAAACTCTGCTAAAAGTGGTTTGAATCGGGCGGTTGGTGGGAATGAATGGGGGATGTACCTAAGGAGGAGGGAGAACAGACCCAAAAAAAACCTATCAACAAAACAAAAAACAAGCGCAACACTCAGACAAAAAAGAATCTGCTTTCAAGCCAGAATTCGAGCGGGCACAACTACAAAAAAAAAAGACGGGACAACAAAAAAAAAGGGGGGAAGAAAATTCCTCGTGGTATCGTGCAACGCCAACCATGCTTGCGGGATGCCCATGATGGGGCAAGAGAGTGAGTATGAGAGAGAGAGAGAGAGAGAGAGAATATGCTGCCTGCCTGCCTGCCTGCCTGTGGGTGCTCAACTGCTGCTGTTCCGTCCGGAGCGCCGCCGCCTAAAGAGATTTGGCCAGTAGACATTATGGAATAACGCCATGCAAAGATCTGATTGAGTGTGTTGTTGTGTGTATCCCGGGATGCGGAGAGGGGGAGGAGAGGAAGAACCGGGGGGTATCAATAAACGACCATCAGGTCCCATCTTGAAGCTTGTCTCGTCCCTGACCACATCATTGGGTCGCGGCGATGCACCAGTGGCGGTGGAAGGCCCAGGCGCTCTTCTGGCACTCCTTGCTGCAGTACTTGGTCCTCCGGCAGCGACGGCACTTGGCAAACTGCCGAGTGTACTCCTCCCACTTGCCGCACTGGTAGTAGGCACACTGCCGAATACCTCCCCGGGTGTCGTCCTTGCGGCAGAGATTCCTCATGACGACGCCGGCCCAGTACTGCATGTCGGTGCTGTGGTACCTGACCGTGAACTTCTCCACGAGCGGGAAAATGTTCAGGTCGTTGGGTAGGCAGTATTCCTCTTCCATATTCTCGTCCTCCTTCTCCAACTCGGCCTCGAGGGCGACGGGGTCAGCGCCGTCGAGGAGTTGGATTTCCTTTCCGATCTTGAGCTTGGGAACGAGATGGCTCCGCTGGAAGTACTTGCGCAGGTTGCAGTACTTGGAAACGTAGGCCAGGAGCTGGAGCGACATCAAGACGTCCTCTTCTCTGGGCATGGCGGCGAGCACCTGCGGGTTGGGGCTGACTTGGCGATCGAGGAGGTAACGCGGAACGCTCGCGTTGGGCAACACCGGCTGCGGCGGGTTCACCAGCGTTGGCCGGTTCGGAGACAAGCCAATGGCCGGCATGGGCGTCGGCGTGTTGTTGGTGGCAACGCTGCCATCAACGGGGCCCTGGTGGGTGATGTTGAACGTGCCCGCATCCGGGGCTTCAGACGCCGTCGGGGTTGTCAGGTCAATGGCGCCGCCGGCCATGATGCTGTCCCCATCCTCCACTGTAATGCCCTGAACCTCCACCTCTGGTTGTATCTCCGTGGTTCCCGACATGTCGGCGTCGGGCGATTCCTCCGAGGTGATGCTCTCGGCATTCATGTCATCCGGCTCAGCCGCGGTCGAGTGTTGGTGGCGGATGGAAGGCCGTCGCCGAGACCGGGCGGCAGCGGCGAGCATCGAGGTAGGCCGCACGGTGGGAGAGCGGAGTTGCGGCGGCGGCAAGGGTGTTGTGGGAGAGGCGGGCT